GTATATATAATTATTATATATGTATTCCTGGAGATGAATATTGAATATACTGCACACAGTATATTTAGTTAGTTAGTTAGTTAGTCAGTTAGCTAGCTAGCTATTGGAATATTTCATTAGTTATTGGAATATTTAGCTATTTGTTGGAAGAAATCCTTGTACAGCTAAAACCATGTAGCTCGAAACTGTGCAACTGGAGGGAGAAGGGTACGGCAGCATTGTGGGTGTGGACAACCAAGGCCAGCGTTGTGCCATGGAACTGGTGGCCCTCCTGCTCCGAACGGTTGACCAGGAGAACTGGGGCAGGGAAGGCAGGGCGCTGCATCCAAGCGAGCACCCGTCGGAGGAGGTGAGGCTGGGAAGCCCCAAATATCTGTTCATTTGCAGGACGAACCGGCACGACCCTCGGAATCGGCGGTTCGTGCCCATCTCTATTCATAGTTGTCGAAATCCAGTAGTAAGCCAAACACTCGAGGAAGCCCACTAAATGATGAAACCTCCAAAGACGCTGACTCAATGGGCCGCCTCTCCCTGACCGGCCGGGACCCTTTCACAGTGTTAAGGTGTGCATCCAAAGGAAGGGAGCCCAAAAATGTACTTCCCCCCAAAACTTACCACGTCCTGTATGGCCCCCGAAATGCTGCACTAGGAAACCGATCACCACTGTCTGGATCATCAGGAAGAGAGCCTCACCCCAGGCACTGAGGGGGAAGAAGCAAAGGGAGAGAGTGAACAGGAGGAGCAGGTAACGGGGATCTGGCCTAATGTCTGAAAACAGCCATTGTTGAAAGAAACAAAACAAAGACTTATAGGACTGGGCATGTTTAGGCTTGAGAAACGAAGACCGAGGGGAGATATAATGCTTCTCAAAGACTTGAAAGATAATCACACAGAGGAGGGGCAGGATCTGTTCTCCATCACCCCAAAGTGCAGGACGCGTCATGATGGGCTCAAGCGACAGGAAGCCAGATTTTGGATGAATATCAGGAAAAACTTATTAACTGTTGGAAGAGTACGACAACAGAACCCATGACCTTCTGCGGTGGCAAAGCACTCCGACGATGGAGGCCCTCAAGAGAAAACTGGACCGCCCTCTGTCCGGTCTGCTTCCTGCCTTGAGCAAGACTTGGACTCGCCAGCCTTATAGGCCCCCTTCCAACTCCATGATTCTAGGATTCTGTGACTGGAGGGGGATCCCCTGTTTAGGTTTTGGGAGAGGGGGTGTTTGGGGGAATCCCACAACCTCCACAATGTGAAAAAAAACATGATTCCTGGAGGCCTTCAGGAGCAGAAAGAGGCAAACCAGTTTGGCACCGGTTTTATTTTCCCCCAAGAATGTTAAAGGAGAAGTGATCTCAGGGAACCTTCCCCTCCCCTCCCAACACAAACACGCTCCCTCCCTCTCCATTTATTGAGGTCTGTCTGGGGAGACGGGAGCCGAGCGGCGGCCGGACCTGAAAGGGAAGCTGTTGGAGATGCTGTAGACCATGGTCCCCGTGATGGCAAGAAGTTCCAGCAGGATGGACTGGAAGCTCAGCCCCTCGGCGCTCTTGGCCCCCAGAATCTTGAAGATCTGGGGGAGCTTCACTGCAGGGGAAAAAAATGTAACTTGTAAAAGGGGCTTTTTGAATCACAAAAACCACCCCCACCCTCACCGGCCATCCTGCCTAAGGGGATTCTCAATCTGTAGCCCAAAGACATAATAAACTCACCACCACCACCACCCCAAACAGGAAGCTTCCTTGCTTCACCCCTCTTCGAAAAGATCCTCCTTTAGCGTCTCTTTTGGTGGACCGTTAGCCGTGACAGCCGACGGAATAGTTGGTTGTTTGCCCTCCTCTCTTCCTACGTCTTTGTATCATAAATGCTTTCCCAGACAGCTCTGGCCGACTCCCGCTCAGATTCTGATAAGGAACGCCTCCTTTTCACACTGCTCAGGACGTGCATTTAAGTGGGGGGACGGAGCAAGCCAAATAGGGCATTTTAGGCTAAAGAATTTGAACAAAATTGCTTGTGCCAAAGGAAAACAAAGTGTTCCTAGAGCCTAGAATGGATTGGATTTCAATTTTGAACCAAGGTTTTAAGAGCTATGGTCCAGAAGAGACAAAACTCTCGTTCTGGACAGCCCTTTTTCCTTCCCCCACTAACTTACCTCACCTGTCCTTAGACTTTCAGCTCATTTGATAAAACTGACTTTCAGGCAGAAGGATGTGCTTCCAGCATCTCTCCCATTCATTAAAAGCCAAGTTATCTGTCAGGGAAATGAAAGCGTTCATACCCATGAGGGAACCTGCAACGATGGCGAATCCAAGGCCCTTGCTGATGAAGATTTTGAGACATGGAACTAAAAACAGCAAAGAAATAACATTAACAACTAGCACCCCATACAGTCCTTAGTTCAGATTATGAACACTCTTTAAAAAAATGAATTTGTACATTGAACCAGTCACAAATCTACTTTTTCATCTGAACCATGACAACTCAAAAAGTCACAGGATAGTTCCCCAACAGAGTAACCACCTTCCTTCAGGCAGAGAAAAGCAACAGGGTGGTAATATGACCCGATTGGCTGCATTTTTACCTAGATTTTAGCCATGTCACCTAGTGGCTGTCAATTGGTCCATATCACCAGCTTTTTTAAAAAAATGTTGTTACTATTTTGGTCAGTTCTGTGAGAAACAAGCCTTTGGATGTTATTTGCCAATGAGTTGTAGCCATTCTCAGTATGGCATGACTTAAAAAGTTTTATATATAAAGATTCATCCTCTGCTAATGCATGTGCTAAACACCTGGCCTTGCAGACAGCTGAATTCAGTTTGGACAGCTTCCTGAAAACAGTGTATAGAAAGCGATAAAGTAAGAAGAACTGGGACAGAGATGAAACTGAACTAAATACTCTTTTAAAAAAACAATAATCAGGATAAAAGCTAATACCTTCATTCATACATTTGACATGGCATGCACTATATTGTTTTTCCCGCAACAAAAGAAAATCAAAACCAGAAGACACAACAATATGAGGCAAAGTTTCCTTTTTTGGACTACAAGTTCCATCATGCTATCTGGGCAATTCTGGGAGCTCTGTCCAAACGGCCACAATACAGTGTCTTTTACTGAGATGTTGGGAGATGAGGGAATTGGAATTAAGTTTCATGTTTATCTTCCACAAACGTCTGGGCAGCTTTGCTATATTCTATGAGGAAATAAAGAGTTAGGTAAAGCAAGATAAGAGGTTTATGGTCCTATGGATGAGGATCAACTATGAAGCTTACTGTGAATCCTATATTTATTGAAAGAGGCCTCAAACAAGGAACAGATCTCTAGAAATTTGTGTTTTTGGATGACAGGACAATTCCCCAGACAACCTGCCAGCTGGGGGATTCTGGACAGTGTCATTTGCTCCCTACTGGAACATACCAATGATAATTGTGTTATGATATTTTTATTGTAAGCCGCCCAGAACAGAGGTAGTCTAGATGGGTGGGATATAAATCGAATGAATGAATGAATGCACACCACACAGCGTGTGGCAGGCTTTTAGACAGGGTTTATACATACAGGATATACCCTCAGCGGACAGATAAACTGAGAAGTGGAAGCAAAATATGCCGTACTGTCACAGAGATGCGTGCATGCCTGGCGCCGACAGTAAGAACAGATGGCAAAGGTGGAGGAGGGCGCATGGCAGCCGGGAACAGGCCTGGGAATTGTACCCTCTCTGTAGGAACGTCGGCTGCTTTAAACTCTCCCTGTTTATGCCCTGCAAGGTTGTTTGGGCTGACAGGGCTTGCTTGGCCCAAGGATAAGCTTGGTCCCTAGGGAGGGATTTGAACTTGTCTCTCTCTCCCTGTTGCAAATCCCTAGTAGGATGGCACAAATACCGCTCCTCTCAGACCAGTTGCTCCTCCCTCAAGGACGCTTAATCTTTACCCTCGTTAGAAAAACAAGGCAGCCATTAGTGTTCCCCACATGAAAAGAACATGCAAATAAAGGCGCCGAATACCCCAATGGGCTAATTAAGCTCCCAGATTGAGAGAAGGGGCTGACAACATCGCCAAAAAAAGTATGACAGGTACTGCTGCCTTTGGATAAGGCTTCACCTGCTGGACTGCCACCTGTCACGGAAAAAGAAGAGCAGGGAAGCCATGAGAAAAACACTTCCGCCCCTAACCAAGATGGCGCCGATGGGTTTCACCCTGTTCCGCCCCTTCCTCTACTTTTTTTTTTTGAGGGGGCGCGGTACTCCTTTTCCCAAACATGAAACTTCTCGGAACACCTTCAAAATAAATGACGGGCGTTATGGGTGAAACACAGAATAGTCAGAGCCTATTCCGTGCTACAACTGACTGTCGATCTAAAATAAGAAGACGAAGCTCGTCCGCCAGGCCGAAATATGGCGGAAGGGCGGACAGCCGGAAGGTCAAGGGTAATTTCCGCCGGCTGACAACATGGCCGAACAGGTACTTCCGTCCGCTGGCAAAGATGGCGGACCCCCGCGTTCGCCCTTCCCCAAGATGGCTGCCCGCCGCCCTCAGGCACTTCCGCCGTGCTGGCGTTGCTGTGGCGACAGTGCCACGCCCCCTCCCGCCCCCCGCTAGGGGAGAAGGGGAGGGTCCGACTCACGGTGCAAGAGGTTGAAGCCGAGGATGAGCTCGTCGTAGCAGTGCTCCGGGAGGAAGTGCGGGACGAGCAGGCCCTTCAGCGCCGACGCCGCCATTTTGGCCAAGAGGGAAGCTGAAAGTGGGCGCCGCTTCCGCTTCCATGGCGTCCACGCCCGCTTTCCCTCCGCGCGCATGCTCCGTGGCTGGTTTCGTGGCGGGACGCTCTGCGCGTGCGCCCCTTTTGGGCTCTAGCTTTTCGCCGTCCCGGCCTCCGCCGCTGCCCCGTTTGCGCATGCTCCGGGGGAGAAAAAAAAGCGGCGGCCTTCTGCGCAGGCGCCGTTTTGACCTGGTGGGCACCCCTTCTGCCGTGCTCTCCACTAAGTTTGGCCAAGGGACAAAATGGCTGCCAGGCCTGAGCAGCCATCTTGGCCCCTCAGCACTGGCCCTGGGGGTCAGCCTCAGCAGGAAGAGGCAGAGGAGCAGGAGGAAGAGGGAGAGGCCCCGAGGCGGCAGGGGCTGCGGCGGCTGCCCACCCTCAGCCGGGGCACGGTGGCCCTCTGCCTCCTCTACTACCTGCGCCTCCAGCGGGGACGCCGCCTGAGG